TACAAAAATCTATTATATAATATACCACATTAACAGACTGCAGGGGGAAAAAACCCCACGTGATCATGTCAATTAATGCAGAGAAAGTATTTGACAAAATTCAACACCCTTTCATGATCAAATAACTCACAAACTAGGAATGGATAGAAACTACCTAAAAATAACAAAACCATATATAAAAAAATCCATAGCTATTAACATATTCAACAGTTAAAGACTGAAAGCTTTGCCTCTAATATTAGGAACAAGGCAAGGATGCCACTCCACCACTGCTATTCAGCATACTACCAGAAGTCCTAGCCAGAACAATTAGACAAGAAAAAGAAATAAAAAGCATCTAAATTAGAAAGGAGAAGTAACATTATCTCTGCTTACAGATGACATGATCTTATACATAGAAAACTCTAAAGCTTCCACAAAATATTGCTACAATGCATAAATTTAGCAAAGTTGGAAGATAAATCAACACACAAAAGTCAGTTGCATTTGTATATACTAACAATGAACAATCCTAAAAGAAAATCAAGGAAACAGTTCCATTTATAACAGCATCAGAAAAAAAAAATAAAGTCGTTAGAAATAAACTTAGCCAAGGAGGCAAAAGGCATACATTGAAAACTACATGATTTTGCTAAAAGAAATTAAAGAAAATAAAAATAACTAGAAAGACATCATGTGTTTACAAAGTGGAAGTCTCAATATTGTTAACCTGTTAATACTACCCCAAATGATAACAGATTCAATGCAATCCCTATCAAAATATCAGTGGCTTTATTTTTTTTTTTCAGAAATAGAAAAATTCCTCCCAAATTCATTTGGAACCTGAGGAACTTTGAATAGCCAAAACAATCTTGAGAGATAAAATCAATGTTGTATGTCTCACATTTCTTAATATGAAAATGTTTTGGGGCGCCTCAGTGGCGCAGTGGGTTAAGCGTCCGACTTCAGCCAGGTCATGATCTCGCGGCCCGTGAGTTCGAGCCCCACGTCAGGCTCTGGGCTGATGGCTCAGAGCCTGGAGCCTGTTTCCGATTCTGTGTCTCCCTCTCTCTCTGCCCCTCCCCTGTTCATGCTCTGTCTCTCTCTGTCCCAAAAATAAATAAACGTTGAAAAAAAAAATAAAAAAAAAAAAAAAGAAAATGTTTTACAAGCTACAGTAATTAAGACAGTGTAGTAATGGCACAAAGACAGATGTGAAATAGAGCAAAAAACTAGGAAGTAACTCTCCCATATTATAGTCAAATAGTTTTCAACCAGGATGTCAAGACCACTCAGTGGGGGAAAGGACAGTCTTTTCAGCAAATTTGGCTGGGAAAATTGGATATCCACTTACAAAAGAATGAAGTATACTACACACACAAGCTAACTCAAAATAAATTAAAGACCTAAATGTAAGACATGAAACCATAAAGGTTCCTAGAAGAAAACATAGGGAAAAGCTTTATGTTATTGGTTTGGTGATGATTTCTTGGATACGACACCAAAAGTGTAGGCAAAAAAAGTAAAAATAGATAAGGTAAATTGGACTACATCAAAATGTAAAGTTTTTCTATTTAAAGGGCACTATCAACAGAGTGAAAAGGCAACACATGGAAGGGAGAAAATATTGGCAAATTATATACCTGATAAGTGGTCAATATCTAGAATATATAAAGAACACCTACCACTCAACAATACAAAATGAAATGATTCTATTTAAAAATGGGCAAAAGTCTTGAATAAACATTTCCTCAAAGATGATGACCAATAAGCAAATGAAAATATGCTCAAAATCACTAACCATTAGGGAAATACAAATCAAAACCACAATGAGATACTACCTCATACCCATTAGGATGGTTACTATAAAAAAAGAAAACCAACAACCCAGCAACATAGAAACTAACAAGTGTTGGTTACAACGTGGAGAAATTAGAATGCTTATGTACTTATACCTTTCTACCCAAAAGAACTGAAAGCAGGATATCAGCATAGTTGTACACCCATGTTCATAGTAGCATTATTCACAATAGCCAAAAGTTGTAAGCAACCCAGTGTCCATCAATGGATAAATGGATAAATGAAGTGTGGCATATACATACGATGGAAAATTATTAAGGTTCAGAAAGGAAGAAAATTCTGACACATGCTACATGAGGACAAACCTTTAGGACATTATTCCAAGTGAAATAGCCCAGTCACGAAAGACAAATACTGTATGACTCTACTTATATGAGGTACCTAGAGTAATCAAATTCATAGACAAAAAAACTATAATGGTGGTTGCCAGGGGCTGAGAGAAGTGGAGAGTTTTTCTTTTATGGCTATAGAGTTTCAGTTTTGCAAGATGAAAGAGTTCTGGAAACTGGTTGTACAACAACGTGGATGCACTAACAAACTGTACACTTAAAAATGGTTATGAGGGTAAATTTTACATACATTTTACCACAATTAAAGAAACCAAAAAAAAAAAAAAAACCCTCTTGAGTTCTGAAACACATTTGTTCCCAAGGTGTTGAAAAAGGAACTGTGCTCCTGTAGCTTAGTCCTCAACTCTAAGCTAAGTAAGAAGGCAAATGAAGATGTGAATGGAATGATAAGCAGTGAAAGGGGCACATGGATTTGAGGTCCTGGTGGGATTACAGCATTCATGGAGTAACTTGGAAAGCACCAGAGGTCTTCAGAGACTTGGGAGCTTAACCATTTAATTTGGAAAAGACAGTCCAGGTTATGACCATGAGAGTAGAGAGAGGGTGCAGTTATTGGAGCAAAAACAACCCCTAAATAATGGGACTGAGAATCTAGAATTCATGGATACAGAAATATTCAAAACTTGGAGAGAACCACAAGCTACTTCTCCATCCTCATCTCCTATTTCTCCCAGTGAAATGTAGCAATAAGCAAAGGGAACGATATTTACCATCCCAACTAGGACCAATATAATTGTGTTGCGGGAGAAAAAGCTTGAGAGGCCTGCAGGGGAAGTTCTCAGGAGAAAACTAGATTTCAGTTACAATGAAGGTAAAGGTAACATTTGGAGGAGAATGACCCCAAGATAGGTGATCAGAAAGAAAGAAAGAGTCCAGGGAATGGAGAATCCACCCATTTTAAAACCAAAGTCTTCGGGAGATGGTAGTAGTATATTAATTATCTCTGTAAACCCTTACTGTACATGCCACATGCAAAGCATTGCACTAGAAAAGATTTAGTGAACTGAAGTTACTTTACTCTGGCTGTATTGTAGCATGTGTGTAAGGAACTTTGCATTAGAGAGATTTAAAGTCCTTGTTATTTTCACTTCTGCTGTCTGTGCTCTATGAGGCTGGTACTAAGGAAATTAAAACAAAACAAAACAAAACAAAACAAAACAAAACAAAACAAAACAAAACA